TGAAAGAGCTAAACTCCCCCAAAAAAAGAAATAAGATACTCAGGGAAGTCCAACAATATTCAATAGATGTAATATTTCTTCAAGAAACCCATTTAACCTGAAATACAAATGTGAAATTATACTCGAAGTCTCTCAAATGTGGTATTACGCTGATTCATCTGTAAAAGGGGCGAAGGGAGTATCAATTGGGTTTTCAAAAAAAATTTATTTTTCCCTGGAGGACAGAATGGAAGACCCAGAGGGTCGGTTTTTGTTCATCAGAGCAAAATTACAAGGAAGGGAATATACACTAGCTAATGTTTATTGTCCAAATAAAAACCCAGCTAAGTTTTTAGAGGGGGTGCTATGGAAAGTCGCTGAATTTAAAAAGGGGTATCTGGCCGTGGCGGGAGATTTTAATGTGTGTTTAGATCCTCAGTGGAATGCATCATCATGTACAAGGAGAGAAGAGGATAGGAATTTGAAATCATTGAAGAAGTTATTTTATAAACATCAATTGGTAGATGTGTGGAGAGTAAATCACCTGAGAGAAAGAGATTATACCTTCTTCTCTCATGTGCATGGTTCATATTCAAGATTGGATTAAATAATGATATAGCATAGACAGTTGGAGACATTGATAGGTTCCAACACAGAGGTAATATTTATCTCTGATCATTCTCCAGTCACAATGAGGTTACAAGTAGGTGAAGGTGAAGATAAAATATTCTCTTGGAGGTTAAATGAAATTCTTTTTCAGGACCCCGAGGTAGAGAAAAGGTTAAAGCGGGAAATTGAACAATTTTTTTAGTTAAACGAGACTAATGAAATATCTGTGGCAACAGTCTGGCAGACACATAAAGCCTATATAAGGGGAATCTTGATCTCTATAGGAATAGAAAAGAAGAAAGAAAGAGGAGAAAAAATAAACGTTGGTGATGGAAGAGCTTCATAAACTGGAACAAATACATAAAAGAAAGAACGGAATAGATATTTGCTAGAAGATAATATTGAAAAGAGATGAGTTAAAAGATCTGATGGAACAAGAAACAAGGAGGATATTTAATGAGGTCTCAAAGGAAAGATACAAATGGGGGAATAGACCCCGAAAACATCTAATGAGAAGACTTAAGAAGAAGAAACCTAGAAATTTTATAGAAAAAATAAGAGATGGGAAGGGAAAAATAGCGTACAATACCTGTGATATTGATAGGAGGTTTTATAAATATTATAGTTGTCAGGGCTGGAGCTGTGGAAACGGTCAGGCAGGCCTTATGGTAAGGTCACGCACTGACTGGACCGACAGAACCCTCGAGCAGGTGCCTCCATTCCTTGAGACCCTGAATAATGGCCAACAACTCCCTGTCTCCAATCTGGTAGTTGCATTCTGCAGAGGAAAGCTTCCTGGAGTAGAACCCACAGGAAAGTAGGGGTCCATCGGGCAACCGACGCTGAGACAGGAGGGCGCCTACTCCCATCTCTGATTCATCAACCTCGAGGACAAAGGGCAACCCAGGATTGGGATGAGACAGTATCGGAGCCAAAGCGAAGGCGGATTTCAGAGCCTCGAAAGCTAAGATGGCCTCGGATGACCACTCGTGGGGATTGCTGCCCTTCTTGGTCAGATCTGAGAGAGGCTTGGCCAGCGTGGACCTTCTGAGGGTCCATGGAAAATCCCACTGTGGAAATGATGTAGCCCAAAAAGGCAACCTGGGATCGGTGGAATTCACAATTCTCGAGCTTACAGAAAAGTTCGTTCTCACATAACCATTGCAGCACCCGCTTAACATCCTGGATATGAGATTCCATGGAGACAGAGTAAACCAGGATGTCATCCAAGTAAACCACCACGCACTGCTGCAACAAGTCACGAAATACATCATTGATGAACTCCTGCAAGACCACGGGCGCGTTACACAACCCGAAGGGCATCACCAGGGATTCATAGTGGCCGGTTCTGGTGTTAAACGCGGACTTCCACTTGTCCGACTCCTTGATCCGTACGAGGGTGTACGCAGCCCTAAGGTCGAGTTTAGTAAAGACCGTTGCTCCCTTGAGGCGGTCAAACAACTCGGTAATCAACGGGATTGGGTAGGCATTTTTAATCGTGATTCGATTGAGGCCCCTATAATCAATGCAAGGCCTCAATTCACTTCCCTTCTTTTTTACGAAGAAAAAGCCAGCTCCTGCTGGGGAAGTAGACTTGCAAATGTGCCCCCGGGAAAGCGCATCCGCAACGTACTCCCCCATGGCCTGAAAATTCTCCGCAACCGAAAGAGGATACACCCTGCCACGAGGAGGGAGTGGCACCGGGTTGCAAGGCTATGGCGCAATCGTATGGACGATGGGGAGGCAGCGCATCGGCGCGCACCTTGTCAAACACGTCCAGGTACTCCCCATAGTCAGTAGGCAACACATAGTCCGAGGAGGCACACAACACCTTAAATGGCCCACGGATTCAACCGGCCCCACACTGTGGAGACCACGAGAGAATCTCGGCCGACCGCCAATTAAAGGTCGAATTGTGCTTCTGAAGCCAGGGATACCCCAAAACCACAGAGTAGTGCGGAGAAGAAATTACCTAAAAACAGGCCAACTCCCTCTGAACAGCCCCAATAGCTACTTCAACCGGCAGGGTCTCGTGGGTAACCTGCGGCGGTTGCAGGGGCCTGCCATCTATCGCCTCGAGAACCAATGGGGTAACTCGAGACTGAGTGTCAGGGCTGGAGCTGTGAAACGGTCAGGCAGGCCTTATGGTAAGGTCACGCACCGACTGGCGACAGCCTCTGGTGACCCACAGACCGGAGTCCCTCAGGGCGTGGAGTCTAAGCCCCAGACTGCCCTTCACCAGGGCCCCTGATGGTGGGGATGGACTTGACGCAGCCTGAGACCAGGTCGCGACCCCGGAGTAACCCCAGCTGCCGTATGGCTGCCGCCAATGGCGTATAGAGGGTAGGGGCCAGATGGAAAGACGTATAGCATGGTCGGACAGGCCGGGTCGATAACAGCGGAACAGACAGAACAAGACGGTAGGCAAGAATACTCAGGTCACGGGCCAGGTTCAGCAACGGGAGGTCAGGTAATGGAATAAAGCAGAGAATGGTCAGAACGGGCCAAGGGTCAGAGCAAGAGGAGTCTTTATCAAAGCCGAGTCGGTTTCCAGGAGAGCTGAACAAGAGCTTGCTGCAATGCAACATACAGGACAAGAATGCAAAGAACGGCTGCAACCAACAGACTTAAATGTGATAAGCCGCACCCTCCTGGGAGGAGCTGCAGAGGACTGAGAGCATAAAGGATCCCACAATGCTTAGCAGACACCCAAGATGGATGCCAGCACATGAAGCAGCACAAACCCTGAGGAAAGGTAGGACCTTGACAATAGTGAACTTTATGAAGTGAGGGGTGGCAACCAAAGGGAAAAGGAAGAGGAGAGGAAACAAATTAGGCAGAAATATTTAAGTGAAGTATAATTGCCATGATTAACACAAGAAAATTTAGAGACTCTGGAGAGTCCTATTACCCCGGAAGAAATTAATATAGCCTTAAAACTACGACCGTAGGTAAAAGTCCAGGACCAGATGGGTACACAGTGGCGTATTATAAAAAGTTCAAGGATTTCTTGTCCCCAAAATCTGTAGATATATGAATGCGATAGGAGAGGGGTTAGAAATGAGGGAAGAGTCATTGCAGGCCCACATTACGCTTATTCTAAAGCAGGGGAAGAATGGCTCACAATGTGCAAGTTATAGGCCTATATCATTATTAAATACAGACACTAAACTTTATGTGAAGGTCTTGGCAACATGACTGAAGGATCTGATGCTTGAATGGGTCCATTTGGATCAGGTGGGCTTTATACCGGGAAGAGAAGGGAGGGATAACAGCCTGAGATCCTTGATTCTTGTACAAAGGGCTAAAAGAGAGAAAATACCGGCAATACTCCTGTCGAATGATGCTGAAAAGGCTTTCCATAGGGTTAATTGGGGATTTATGTTCGATATGTTGGAAACATTAGGAATGGGGCCTAAAATGCTGAACTGGATAAAAGGATTATATAAGTATCCATCAGCGGCGGTTAAGGTAAATGGAGCTCTTTCACAGTTTTCAAGACTGTATAATGGTACCAGACAGGGATGTCCCCTGTCCCCTTTACTGTTTGTTTTGTCCCTGGAACCGTTCTTGGAGAGGGTAAGGAAATGTATTGATATAAAGGGGATAACACTAGGAGAAACAGAGCATAAAGTAGCCGCTTATGCAGATAACATGTTATTCTATATCGCTAATCCCAGAATATCGCTGCCCAATCTAATGAAAGTATTAAAACTGTATGGGGAGATGTCAAACTTGAAAATAAACCCTGTAAAATCAGAAATTTTAAACATTAACCTTTCAATGTCAGAGAAGACGAGCCTACAAAAGGAATTCCCTTTCACTTGGTTATCTTGGAGTAAAATTAACCCCTTCTTTAAAAGGTTTATATCAGCAAACTACATGGGGTCACTGGAATATATATGAAATATTTTTTATAATTGATGATTTTTCTATTCTGTATAATAATCAAATAAAAATTTTAAATTAAAAAAAAGCAAAACTACACTGCAACGAGCTCCACAAAAAAAAAAAAAAAAAAGCTTTTAGTGGCAGGGGCATTTACCTGCAGGAAAAAAAACCCAGGGCCAGTGCATCCAGGAGCAGCAGCGTTTTGGCACAAAAAAAAACGTCTGAAGCACCTATACGCGTGTTAAACGCTAGGTGCGTTTAGCACTTGGGCATTATTTCATTTCAATAGCTAGAGTTATTATTCTTTCCAATTAAATTAACTACCTGCCGACCGCAGATAGCCGAATGACGGCTGCACTGCGGCCGGCCAGTTCTGAGTGGACGTCATATGACGTCCTCCCAGAACGCGCTCTCCTGCGCGCCCCAGGGGGCGTGCACCCGGCGATCTCCGTGATCGCTGTGTCCTTCGGACACAGCTGATCACGTGATGTGGTAAAAGGCCAATCACAGCGGCCTTTTACCACGTGATCAGCGGTGTCCAATGACACGCTGATCAGAGGGAAATGCAAGTGCCGGTTCTCGGCTGCACTTTCCTCACGCTGTCAGATCGTGAGGAAAGTACTGCCGAGAACCGGCAGTTGTCAGAGCGGGGATCGGCACCGATCACCAGGGCACTGATAATCAGTGCCCTGATGATCGGTGCCCAGCAGTGCCACCCGCAAGTTCCGCCCACCTGTGCCCAGCAGTGCACCCACTAGCTCCGCCCACCTGTGCCCAGCAGATCACCCACCTGTGCCCAGCAGTGCACCCACCTGTGCCCAGCAGTGAACCCACCTGTGCCACTCTGCAGTGTCACACACCTGTGCCCAGAAGTGCCACCCACCTGTGCCCAGCAGTGCCACCCACCTGTGCCCACCCACCTGTGCCCACCAGTGCCACTCACCTGTGCCCACCCACCAGTGATGCCCACCAGTGCCACCCACCAGTGCAGCCCAGCAGTGCTGCCAGTCAGTGCCACCAGTCAGTGCCCAGGGGTTGTGCCAGTCAGTGCCCAGCAGTGATGCAGTGATGCCAGTCAGTGCCGTCTATCAGTACCCATCATCAGTGTCAGCTATCAGTGCCGCCTATCAGTGCTGCATATTAGTGCCGCCTATCTGTGACACCTCATTAGTGCTGTCTATCCGTGCCGCCTATCCGTGCCACCTCATTAGTACTGCCTATCAGTGCCCTTTAGTTCTGCCTATCAGTGCCCATCAGTGCCGCCTATCAGTGCCCATCAGTGCTGCCTCATCAATGCACATCAGTGAAGGAGAAAAAATACCTGTTTGAAAAATTTTATAATAGAAACAAAGAAACTTTTTTTTTTTTTTCAAATTTTTTGCACTTTTTTTATTTATAGAGCAAAAAGTAAAGCGTCCAGTGGCGATTAAATAACACCAAAAGAAATCTCTATTTGTGAGGAAAAAAATGATCAAAATTTCATATGGGTACAATGTTGCATGACCACGCAATTGTCAATCAAAGTGCGGCAGCGCTGAAAGCTGAAAATTGGCCTGGTAAATAAGGGGGTATAAGTGCCTGGTAGGCAAGTGGTTAATTGACGCCCAATTGTTTGAGGCCTGTAAACACGCCTAAACGCTTGTAAAAGCAACACTTTCATAAGAGTCAGGTGTTTTTTCTGCCAAAACACTGCTGCCAAGAGGAGGAGCATTCTTAAAACATCCTGTGTGTATGAGACCTACAAAACCACATTTTTTTTCTGCTCCTAAGGGCTCATTCACACCATGGTGCAGAGACCTCAGTTTTTCTGCATGCGTTCTGCAAGGGCACAACAAAATAATTTGTTCTCTCTGTGCCCTATTCACACCACAACACTAGTATCATGTGCAGATTTTTTCTGCACAGGAATCTGCAGCATATATAAAACTCATTGAAGCATGCATGAAAACTGGTATAAACTGATGTCTCTGCAAGTGAAATCTGTGTGTCAGTTTCCATCAGTTTTTCTGCATGTATAGTGTGAATGAGCCCTAAATGCTGAAGCTTGAAAATGCTACTAGCCTAAAATAGTGTCCATGGACATATAGGATAACACTATTTAGCTTCTAGGAGCAGAGAAAAAATGCTGATAACAGCTTCTAGGATTTAGTCTTGAAGAAGCAGACAATCTGTGAAATACGTAGACATCTAAGGATTACGTTTCTATTGATTTGTTTTTATTGTACTCTTTTATATGATTTTATTATATATTTTAGTGATTATGTTATAAAATAAGTGAATTTTGCAGCTTTGACTATATAGTAGAAAAAAAATATTTTGTGTCAGACAGTTAATTAGTGCATGAAGAGGTTCTCTGACTATAGTTCAACAGCCCACAACAGTGAAGAAAACTATAGCGGTGGAGATATGCTAAAATGCTAGCAAAGTAGGAGATAGATAGACACCTTGTGGCTCTGAAGGCATCCCTGTAGAAGAGCCGAAAACCAGAAATCAAAAGAAAAGAGAGGGAGACAAGAGTGGGGAGAAGTAGGGGACGGACGTTCACAATGCTTTAGTTCAGTTTGTGAGATATGGTTGGTGTAGCTGGCCAGCTAAGACCAGTCCTAGGTTGCTAATATGGTTCACATATATGTGTATACCAAACCTGCCAATAACATCAGTATAGTATATATGTGCACATGTTAAAGCCAAAAGCAAAATCATTGCTGTAATTTATGTCTTTGATTGTTATATGACATTTATATATTCATTGTGTTAGCAGAAGCAGAAAAGGAAAATATGCCTTTAAGAGTTAGTATAGAGCTGAGCCAATCACAGACAGCCTCACACTGTACAGAGCCTTAACCAATCCCAGCCAGTTTCACATTTATGCCTGTGTAAAACTCCCTGCTAGGATTTTCTAGAGACACATGCTCACCAGACAGAAGAGGAAACAGACAGTTCCAATCAGAAAAGCTTTATGGAGCAGAGAAGGCCAAATAGGTATTTAATGCACTTGTATGTTCCTCTATTGTTTGACAGTGCAGGTGGATCTGTGTTTTGAAACTGTTGTGTGTGTTTTACTTGTAGTTCCACCGAACGAACTTACAAATTTACGAATCGAATATAGCAAATCGAATTTACAGAATCTAACGAAATTTATCAATCTATCGAATCAACCCAATGTAATACGAATGAAACCATTGTAATATGAAAGAAATAAGCCATTGTAAGCAGTTATATGAAGAAGATTGAAGTTATTAAAGAAGTTAACTAAAGTATTCGGTGTGCTTTTTAAACCTACTGCATCCATAGAGCGGCATTGGAGGAATTACAGAGTAAAGTCAGTCTAATCAAACAAAGAAACAGCAATTGCATAATTTTTCTAATGCCACAGTGCACTAGGCACCAAAGGGTGCTGCGCCTGCCACAGTTGGGTTATAGTGAGGTAAAGCTGTTCGCTTAAATTTCCGGGTGGGCGTATTGGATCCATGGAGTCCAAGTTTTAAAGAATCTCTCATGGGTATCTGAGAGTATACTAGCCAGTTTTTCATTCATTAAAAAGAAGTCAAGGCGGCGGTGCAGGAGTGAAGGGTATGAACTGCTGTTTCCAGGCTTTCGCTATGGTTTTTTTAGCCCCCAATAGTACGTGAGTGACTAGTTTAAATTTGTGTTTAGACATACATGGATGTTTTTAAATTGTACATCTTTTAAGTCTACACACAGAGGCTCCTCTCTTCCTTTCTTTTTATTATGTGCTACAGAATCTGCTCCAAGTTCATCACTGAGGCTGCCATTAGTGATTGTGGACTACATATTAAGACTTTTTTCTTTGAGCTTATAATGGCATGATATCACCATGCCAAACATAACTGACTTTCTTGGTCTAAAATGTAAGCACTGTTGTCCTACAGAATAATTTTTCATCTATATTTGCATATAGGATAGTGTATAACAGCAGAATATATTTTTTTTTGCACTTATACCAAGTGTATGTGTACATATACACATAGGATTTTACCGTTTAGGAGCATCAGAGTTTTAGGGGCAGTTAAACATTCCTCTTTTGAACACAGAAGAATCACATTCAGGAGAGGAACATTTTGGTGCTTTAACCAGTTCCCAACAGCTCTATAGCCAAAGGATGGCTGCAGTTGTATGTTTCTGGGACAATGTCCATGGACGTTATGTCAGAACACCCCCCCTGCACGCCCCCAGCGCGCGCGCACCCAGTGCCGCCGGTGATCGCTGTGTCCTACAGACACATCTGATCACGTCATACGGTAAACAGCCAATCATGGCGGCCTTTTACCAAGTGAACAGCTGTGTCCAATGACACAGTAGATCACCGGGTAAATACAGTTGCCGGTTATTGGCTGCACTTTCCTTACACTGTTGTAGCGTGAGGAAAGTACTGTGGAGAACCGGCAATTGTCAGTGAAGGGATTGGCACTGATCATCAGAGCACTGATGATCAGTGCCACCCATCAGTGCCGCCCACCTGTGCCCATCAGTGCCACCCACCTGTGCCCATCAGTGCTGCCCATTGTAGCAAGCGTACACACAGAGATGGATGCAGTTCAACCATTTTGGCTTCAACCTCCATCTTGGCAAAGGGGTTAACCATCCTGACAAACATATTTCCCTCTCATTCTCCCCCTCCCTCTCTGAGAGTCACAGCGACATTTGGCCAGTGTGTGTGTGTGTGTTAGGAGTGTCACAGGAGGCCAGGGCCCAGCAGGGGGCTAGGAGCTATAAAGTCCCCAAGGGAGCTGGGGCCTAGCTGTCCAAAGAACCTGTGCAATGTAACACCTCGTATAAGATAAGGCAAGCTTTCCCAGGAGTTCAAAGAACATTCCCAGGAAACATGACCAGATAACCTTTGTTAAAATCCATATTCCCCTATATCTCATATCTTGGAATATGAGAGACTTACATAAAAACCGGACATATCCTCAGATTGGCTAAGAGGACATGAACATTTTGGTAGGTCACTCGCCTTGTCTCGAATACATAGGAAAGCCGAAAAGTAAATCTCGTGAACCGTTCAGTGTATAATTTCATAATTCATATCTAATCAATCCTCAGACAAGTCTGCATAATAATCTACCCGCAGGTGGAATGTCACTTGTGCAGATGGAAAGTTATGGGCCAAAATATAAGTTAGGAGAGATTTTGGCTCTAGTTGAGGTATCCGTCCAAACCTCCACACCCTAAACGGGGGTATTGGTCCTTGACTTCAGAGACACCCCTGCTGGGGAACTAAAAATTGGGCTGTCAGGCCTAAGAGAGGGAAGTTGAAGAATTCTCCCATTGACCATCGAAACAGAGGGAGATCAAAGTACCCTTCTGCTCTGAAACTTGATCTGCTTAAATCCAAGGCTTAATGGCAAGTACTTTAACCCTTTAACCTCCTTCTGTTATCTCTTTGCTTTGCTGTTGTTCTCTGTATATTTATATATATATATATTGGTTACATCTTTGTTCTGTAAATATTTTTATTGCACCCATTTGACCTTTTAGTAATAAATCTTTCCTTCTGAAAGTGTTAAACTGTTTCTATAGCTCTTAATTGCAATTTACGAATTCCTGCCTCTAAAGAGAATGCTACTGTGTTTGTTTAACCCTCTGTATAACCGGCCTGCGGTGACCGTTTTATACAGACGATTATCTCAAACATTATAGTGTTATAGCTGATATCGTCGAGTTTCCTCTTTCTCTGTACAAAAAGGAGGTGGTGGCAGTGTGAAGGGTTAATCACGTAATTAACCTGACCCAGTAACAATCGCATTCAGGCTGCGGGTGCATCGATTGTGGTCCAATTAGCTGGAAAATCGTTGTGCAGGGTGCAGCTGAGTGTGGCATTGTTATGCATGTGACATCACGGTTTTAGATTGGCTAGTCCTTCGGTCACGAGTTTGGTGAGAAGGGCTGGGGTCTGATGCAGCGTTCGTCACATATTGGTGACAGCGATCGTGGGATCGTCACATATTGGTGGCAGCGATCCCGCGTCCGTCACACCCATCTGTGCCCAGCAGTGCTGCCCAGCACTGCCGCCTATCAGTGCAACATAATCAGTGCCAGCTCATCAGTGCTGCCTATTATTGCCACCTATCAGTGCCTTCTATCAGTGCCCATCAGTGCTGCCTATCCGTGCCACCTCATCAGTGCCCATCAGTACTGCCTAGCAATGCCCATCAGTGCTGCGTATCAGTGCATCCTGATCAACGCACATCAGTGAAGGAGAAAAAATTACCTGTTTGCAAAATTTTATAATAGAAACAAAGAAAACCTTTTTTTTTTTAATTTTTTGCTCTTTTTTTGTTTATAGCACAAAAAATAAAACACCCAGTGGCGATTAAATACCACCAAAAGAAAGCTCTATTTGTGTGAGAAATATTTTAAAAAATCCATATGGGTACAATGTTGCATGACTGCGCAATTATCATTCAAAATGCCACAGCGCTGAAAGCTGATAATTGGCCTGGGCAGGAAGGGGGTAGAAGTGCCCAGTAGGCAAGTGGTTAATCCATGTCAATGTTAAATACTCTGGCCCAGCAAATGAAAAAATGTCCAAACGCTAAACCTGGTTAAAGGCGGCTAAACGCTGTACCGCTGTACATGCATTTTTGCTGCATTTAGCATTTTTCTACTGCCAGGAGAGAGTAATGTCTATGGGAGTTCATGTGTACACGAGATCTAAAGTGCTCATATGCATTTACATGCATCTACATGTGTAAATTTTGCAGATATGTATGGCTCCAGATTCAGGTATGCCCCACCTTTTTGTATGCTGCTAAACGAACTTCACATTTTGTTTGTAGACACAGTTGTGTGTACATGCTCATTCTATCATAAACTCGTATGTCAGGAGCACCTGCATATAAACGTGACAATTGCATCACACATGTTAGTTATCACTGTGCACTCCAGAGTGAGAGCAATAATTCTAGGCCAGTGATTTACTGTTAACTCTTAACAAATTATCTTGAAATTTTGAATACAGTATCACATGACATGTTTGGTGTCTATTTACTTGATAGAATCTTTTATATTTTACCAAAAATATGGTAATATAGTGTGTGCATGCATTGAAATTAATTTGAGTGTATTTTTTTTACTATATTAGTATTTTTACATACCATGTGACATAAAAACTGTGACTATAAGCTGTATACTCTCCAATGATTCTGCTTTCAGAAAATATATTATGTATATATATTATATGTAAATATAAATATATTATGTTTTGGGGGTTTTACTAGTCTTGATGCTTAAAATTTGCATTTTAACTTGTGTGCAAAAAATAAAAAAGATCCTGGCAGCCAAAGGTTTCAAAGATCTTCATCCTTCATCTAATTTGTAAAAATGCAATGTAATACAGTACACAGTATGGAAAAAAGTACAGAATCACCACTCTTGGAAAATGTTCATTCAATTGTGTAGAAATAAAACTAATCACAGACATGGCTCAAAACTATTTTAATTTAACATTCCAACCTTCTGGAAGAAAGGAAGAAAAAAAAAAAGAAAAAAAGAAAAAAAACTGTAGTCAATTGCAACTGTGAAAAAAATATAGAATCACTCAACTCTGAGGAAAATATTATGGAATCACAATGTCCTTTGCAGTTCTAAAATAAACATGTGCATCAGATTACATCTGCTAATTAGTCTGCAGTTAAAAAAAAGAGTGCTTGCGCACCTTGGTGAGCTGTTGCACCAAGCTGATTGACATGAATGGTGGCTCCAACACAAGAGGTGTCAGTTGAAACAAAGGAGAGGATTATAAAACTTCTTCAAGAAGGTAAATCATCACTGGACCAAGTACAAATCAAATGAGAAGGTTGTAAAAGGGAAAGTACTGGTAGACAAGGAAAACAGCAAAGTGTCAAGATAGAAAACTTAAAGCAGTATGCCTTGAAAACAGAAAATGCACAGCAAAACAAATGAGGAACAAATGAGCAGAAACTGGAGTCAATGTCTGTGACCGAACTGTAAGACATCGCCTAAAGGAAATGGAATTTACATACAGGAATGCCAAATGAAAACCATCATTAACACCTAAACAGAGAAAAACAAGTTTACAGTAGACTAGAGAAAAACAATCATGGACTGTGGATGACTGGATGAAAGTGATATTCAGTGATGAATCACGAATCTGCATTGGGCAGGGTGATGATACTGGGACTTTTTTTTGTTCTGTTCCATATAAAGACTGCCTGAAGAAAACATGCAAATTTCCACAATCATTGATGATCAGGTTGCATGTCAGGTAAAGGTACAAGGGAGATGACAGTCATTAAATCTTCAGTAAATGCATAGGTTTATATTTGGATTTTGGCCAATTTTTCTTATTCCATCAATTGAAAGAATGTTTGGTAATGATGACATCATTTTTCAGGAAGATAATGCATCTTGCCATAGGGCAAAACCCATGAAAACTTTCCTCCAATTAATAAATCTAATGTCAATAGCATGGCCTGCAAATAGTACAGACCTCAATCCAACTGAAAATCTATGGTGGAAATGAAAGAAAATGGTCCATGACCAGGCTCCAACGTGCAAAGCTGATCTGGCAACTGCAATAAGAGAACGTTGGAGCTGGATTGAGGAAGAATACTGTTTGTCGATTGTTAAATCCATGCCTCAGAGAATTCAAGCTGTTAAGAAAGCCAGACGTTGTGCAACAAAGTACTAGTGGTGTACTGTAGTGTTTTTTTTTTTTTATGATTGAGTGATTCCATATTTTTTCCTCTGTTCTGTTGATCTGCAAAAACAGTTTTAACTGACTACAGTTTTATTTCTTTTTTTCTTTTAAGTGTTTCTTAAAGCCAGAAGGTTGGAATGTTAAATGAAAATAGTTTTGAGGCATGTCTGTGATTAGTTTTTTTTTTTTACACAATTAAACAATTGAATGAACATTTTCCAAGAGTGGTGAATCCATACTTTTTTTCCAGGGGTTGTAGAAATGGGGTTAATATTAACTAGCCTTAAAAATGCTCCCTCCAACCTCCAAAAACTTATTTCAACTAACTTACAGTATATAAGATGTGTATATACTGTACTAACTTGTTTTCCGTCCAATCTGGTCACATGATCCTGTGTTAGCAACTAGCAGCTGCAGGGGAGAGGAGAGAGTGAGATACCAGTAACAGCTAGAAATGACTGGGAGCAGTGATCTTGTCCATAGTCTCCTATGGCTCATCTGTTGTCAGCATTCCTTGCTCTCTTTCCTGCAGCTGCTGCTGCCTGACAAAGGAGAGCCAGATCATGTGATCAAACCAGAGCAGGCTGAAAACAGGCAAGTATAGACACCTTTACACAGGTTAGTCAGGATAGGTGTTAGGAGAGGGGAGGAAGCATTTTTAAGATTAATTAGATTTAGCCCCAAATTCTACTTTAACCAGCTCAGTAAAGTCCCCTACTGCAAGGACA